AAATAGTAGGATAATATTGCTCAGAAAATTCATTTGTAGCAATATGAAATTTTTCTAAAAAATTAACAAGCATTTTAACATTAGCCCAATCCCCATTCGTAAGGTGCTCATCATCATCACTCACATATGCATTAAACGTTGAGTTTATGGGGTTTCTATATTCATATGCAACAACCAAACTTTCATACATGTAATTTCATCTAGTTGGACAAGGTTTAGGAACCTTTCTTTCTCTTAGGCCACATTCATCGCATCTTTTAAAGTATTCTCTAAGTCTACTTCTACGGTTTGAATAAAAAATCCAGTTAAGAGCCATTTTAACCTTTTCAATTTCAATATTTAAAATTCTAATACCATCACCCACAATTAAATGGTAAATATGATAAATACATCTAACATGAAAAATATTACTAAATGCAGGATTTAGCGTAGTGGTAAGCAAGTCTATAGCATTTGTGTTATTAGTAGCATTATCCATTGAAACCGACATTATTTTATCACTAATGCAAAAATATCTGCAAATATCCGTAACTGTGTTAGCAATAAACTGCCCTGTGTGACGTGAATTAATTATTCTATACGCAATTATCTGCTTTTACATTATCCAATCCTCATCAATCCAATGACTGGTAACAGTAAGGTAATCACAGTCGTTGCCACTTCTACCAATATCAGTTGTAATAGCAATACATTAATTTATATGAGTAAATAAATAGCGCAAATATTGTTTATATTCATGCTTATATTTATAAATATCGCTCTTTACAGTTGTGCGAGGAAAACCTTTATAAGTAGGATTAAAATATTTTCTAATATAATGCACAAACGAAGGGTCAGAAGGAAAACTATAGGGTAAGCACATAACAGTTACCATTTTTGCCAATTCTTTCCGATATTTTTTTGGATCATAATATAAAATACCACTGGTAACAATGTTAATTCCCTGTTGAAATTGATCTGAACTGGTACTAGGGTCAGCCTGACTAGGACTAGGTATATTTTTCCCCCACGGCCAAAACTTTCAGACGAAGATATCTGACTCTATATTGAGGGTGTATTTTTATGTGTCTAGCCAAAGTTCCCCCTTCCCCCGCGATCCAAAATATTTAAAAGCTAACTGCATACCACAAGTTTTACACTTAGCCTTATTTTCTAGAATTAGTTGAGTAAAAATTGGCCAAAAAGGAGAGGTTTTCGTCCATTTGGTAGGTTGTCTAGAAAAAGTAGGGGCAGTAACAGGAGTATCAGATGGGCCATCATTTGGATTAGCAGGGTTATCACTAGTTAGGTTAACATCATGACCAGGACTAGTGGGTGTATCATCATCCGGTTGAGTTTTATCAAGATCAATTTCCTCATCATCAGTATTATAATTATTAGAATAAAGAGCATTCATTATTTCATGGTCTAATTGTTCACCGGCTGCAATATTATAGATAAATTGACTCTCGGTAAATTGTGATAAACTATTATCGCTATCAAGAATAGCAGGCGTAGGACGAATATGGGGTTTGGTTTTGGGGAGCCGGGGAGGAGGAACAACATGATCACTAGATTCGACACTCTTGGATTTTTCCTTATTATTGTTTTTACCAAAAATATTTTTTAAGGAAGCCATCTTAATAAATCAAGTAATAGCAAATAAATAAAACAAACAAAACTATAATATTAAGACTTAAGAGTTGGAACGAGTTTACTGAATTGACGAACAACTTGTTGAAAATTGATTATCGTTGAAGATTTCAATTCACCAACTTTGCACAATGTTTTCACAAATTTTAACAACCTCAATTGTTTTACTATTTTTTGGAATAAAGTAAGAAATAGTAACAAGTATATAAGAAAATTAGAGAGAGATTGTGATAGATTGATATTGATTTTGTAAGAAAAATAAAAGAATGAGGGGGTATTTATAGTTATAAATAGGGAAAAAGTGTAATTATAAAACGTTTGGGGTTAAAACAAAGTTTTGGGGGATGGGGGAGGTTAAATGGCTATTTTCTAAATAGCTAATGACTATTTTTTAAAGTCCAATGGCTGTTTTTGAAAATAGCCAAACTAATTTTTTAAAAAACAAAATTACCGTTTGGCCCACCAAGGGACCGGTCCGGTCCCGTTCCCTTGGCGGGCCAAACGGTCTAGTTCCTAACGGTTCAAAGCCAAGAGCCGGCCCACGAGACCGGCTCAGGCCCACCTCTAGCGGTCCTACTTATTCCGACCGACTTAGCCCACATAGCCCGTTTGNCATAGCCCGCGGTCCCGGACCGGCCCACTTGCCACCCTTAGTAATATCATGAGGTTTTGGGGGAATATGCGTCCCCAAATCTTTATCTGGGTTTTGGCTGTTGTTACTTGTTATGCACGAAGGATGAATGATAAACTTTTAACAAATGTAATAATAGAGGGAGTAGTTGCTTCTACAGTACCACTTCAAGCGGAGTGTAGAGTCAAATAGAAAATAACTTAATTTTCTAATCATTCATCGCAGCAAAAATANCAAGAAAGAACGGAACCCATGGAGAAGAATCCTCAATTTCGTCCCTCTGACACTGATCTGATAACGCAATTGTTGAAATTTATGGCTGGAAAATGCTTACCAACTGAAGGATTGATTGGCTTTGCAGATGTTTACAGCAATGAGCCATTGCAATTAATTGGAGACATTAGTTCCATGAAAACCCATTACTTCCTTACCCAATTGAAGAAGAAGAAGCCCACTGATGCCAGATTCAATAGAACTACTGGTAATGGGACTTGGACACAGCAGAATAAAGGCAAGAAAATTCTTGATGAGGATGAGAGTCTGATTATTGGGTATAAAAGAAGCTTGAGTTATAAGCACAAGAAAGACTCCTCTTTGAATGGCTACTGGATGATGACAGAGTATTTCTGTTGGGATTTTAAGCTTGTGTAGCTTAAAGAGGGTGAATAGGAAATGGAGGAAAAAAATAAAATATTTGAGTTTCCCTCCTCAGCATAGGGACATTATCCCATATTGGAGGAAGAAAAGACTTTTCATGGGTATATATACAATTGCTCTTCTTCTACCTCTTAAAGAGTTAAGAAGAAGGCAAGTCCCGCGCCGTCGTCGTCGCTCGCTCGGCTTCCGTCAAAGATTGATTGATTATTCTTTTTGGACAAAATTTCTTTCAATTAATTAATTTAATTAATTAACAAAAATTCAATCCGGAATAACCCATGACCCGCGACCCGTTCCGGTCCGTTTTCTTTCCTAGATTATTTTAAATTCGTTTGTTGTTTTCCGCTCATAATCAGTGCCAAATGGTCTATAAATATGCCTTGAATATCAGAATTTTTACTTACTAAATTTTCTGATCTTCTTCTTCTTCTTCATCTGCACAAAAATTCCAGTGTGTTTTTACAGCCTTCGAGTGGTTCGCTGTTCATCGGCGTTTTTGGTACCAACACTCTGGTGAGTTAATCGTTCTATCTTGGGAGGATATATTCCAGTACCTCGGGTACTTGAGGGGAATAATTTTTTCTTAAGGACACACTGTGCATTCAGTGGGCTCGATTTTTTCCTATACTGTTTTTAAGAATTTATTTCGTTAAACCAGAGTTACTAACTTTCTGATTTTGTTTATATATATTTCAGAAAGTTTAATGGTTTAATTGTTTATTATATCAATACAGGTTAATAACAATCTTAAGGAAATTATTTTATTATATTCTGTATTCTGTTTGTAGAGATTAAAACCTGTGTGGTTTTTTACTCCTTCTGGATTTTACTATTCTGATTTGAAGATATAAAAACTCCATCAGAGTATTGAAATTCAGAAAACGATTTGAAGAACATAAAGCCTTCATCGTTTTGTGAAACAGTATATAAATCTTTGGTTTTATTTGTTATACGTACTGTTTATTGTTAATAAAGTATTGTTTACTGTTCTGGTTTTGCCATTAATTGAACTCTTCTATTGTTGACAGTGAAAAATGGCAATTGATAACGGAATTTCTTCTGCAACTATTGCGGCAATGACGATAGCCTTGTCAAGACGAACTATTGTTCCACCGGCAGAGAAACCGGGGAAATTTTCTGGAGCCAACTTCAAAGGATGGCAGCAAAGGGTGTTCTTTTGGTTTACCACACTTGGTATGCAGAAATACACTAGTGAAGAACCTCCAGTGCCTGCTGCGGATATGCCGGACAACGAAAAATTCATGATTGTTGAGGCGTGGAAACAGGCAGATTTTCTTTGCAAAGGATATATCTTAAGAGCTTTAGAGAATGACTTGTACAATGTGTACAGTGCGATGAATACTTCGAAAGAATTATTGGACGCACTTGAAAAGAAGTACAAGACTGAAGATACATGCTTGAAGAAGTTCGTGGTTGCCAAGTTTCTAGACTATAAAATTATGGACAGCAAAACTGTTGGAATCCAAGTTCAGGAGCTTCAACTTATTTTTCATGACCTTATTGCTGAAGGTATGGTCGTGAATGAAACATTTCAATTTCAAGTGGCTGCAATGATTGAAAAATTGCCTTCTTCGTGGAGAGATTTCAAGAACTATTTTAAGCACAAGCGCAAAGAAATGAAGTTGGAAGATCTTGTGATACGTCTCGAGATTGAGGAAGACAACAAAACAGCCGAGAAGAAGTCTCGTAGAAATTCAATGATCATGGGAGCTAATATCGTTGAGGAGACTGCTCCAAAAAGTAAGAAGAGAAAGAGGTCTTCTGGACTGACTAAGGAGCAGAACAAAAAGAAATTCAAGGGCAGCTGCTACAATTGTGGAAAAACTAGTCACAAAGCCCCTAATTGTCGTCTCCCGAAAAAGGATAAGAAGAAGGGACATGCCAACATAGTGGAGAAGAATGATGACATTGATGATCTGCGTGCAATGCTTTTGGAATGCAACCTAGTTGGAAATTCGAAGGAGTGGTGGATTGACTATGGAGCCACTCGATATGTTTGTGCTGTCAAAGAAGCATTTGCGACTTACTCTACTACTGGTCCCGAAGAAGAGCTTTTCATGGAAAATACTGCAACAGCCAAGATTGAAGGTTATGGGAAGATATTCCTGAAGATGACTTCCGGCAAGGTGTTAACGCTCAACAACCTTCTTCATGTTCCTACTATTAGGAAGAATTTAGTTTCTACTTATTTACTTGTTAAGAATGGATTTAAATGTGTATTTGTTTCTGATAAAGTTGTTGTAAGCAAGAATGAAATGTATGTTGGAAAGGGCTACCTCACAGAGGGCTTTTTCAAACTAAATGTAATGGTTGTTGACAATATTAATAAAATTTCAGCTTTTTCTTATTTATTGGAGTCAAATGATTTATGGCATATTCGTTTAGGACATGTCAATTACAAAACCTTGCGGAAGTTAATTTATTTTGAAGTATTGCCTAAATTCGAGTGTAATAAATCAAAATGTCATATATGTATTGAATCTAAGTTTGTAAAACATCCTTATAAGTCTATTGAAATGAATTCAAATCCTTTAGACTTAATTAATACTGACATTTGTGATATGAAGTCGACACCATCTCGAGGTGGAAAAAGTATTTTATTACTTTTATTGACGATTGCACTCAATATTATTATGTTTATTTGCTTAATAGTAAGGATGAAGCAATTGAATTATTTAAGCAATACAAGAATGAAGTGGAGAATCAATTGAATAAAAAGATCAAAATGATTAGAAGTTATAGGGGTGGAGAATATGAATCTCCGTTTGCAGAAGTATGTTCGGAATATGGAATTATCCATCAAACTACTGCACCTTACACACCTCAATCTAATGGAATTGCGGAAAGGAAAAATCGGACATTAAAGAAAATTATAGATTTTTTATTAATAAATTCCGGATTACCACAGAGTTTGTGGGGGGAAGCTATCCTTACAGCTAACCGAATACTCAACAGAGTACCCCACAGCAAAATACAATTTATTCCATATGAAAAATTGAAAGGAAGAAAATCCAACTTGAAATATTTCAAAGTGTGGGGGTGTCTAGCAAAGGTACAAGTTTCTTTACCTAAAAGGATTAAAATCAGACCAAAAACTGTAGATTGTGTTTTCATTAGATATGCTACAAACAGTAAAGTATGTCAGTTTTTGGTTCATAAATCCAATAATCCCGAAATTCATGTTAATACGGTAATGGAATCAGATAATGCAGAATTCTTTGAAAACATCTATCCGTATAAAACTGAATGCGAGTCATTAAGTGAAAGACCTAAACGACCTCGGGAAGAACCAAAGGAAAATACTCCAAGTGTAGAAGATCTAAGGCGTAGCAAACGTTAAAGAACATCTACTTCCTTTGGACCAGATTTTGTGACATTCTTGCTTGAAAATGAGCCTCAAACTTTTAAAGCAGCTATGCCATCTTCTGATTCAGCGTTTTGGAAAGAGGCAGTCAATAGTGAGATTCAATCAATTTTGGATAACCATACATGGGAATTGGTTGATCTTCCTCCGGGAAATAAGCCTTTAGGTTCGAAATGGATCTTTAAACGGAAAATGAAAGCTGATGGCACTATTGACAAATATAAGGCAAGACTTGTTGTCAAAGGTTATAGACAAATGGAAGGCCTTGATTACTTTGATATTTACTTGCCAGTAACGAGGATAACATCTGTTAGGGTATTAGTGGCACTAGCAGCCGTATATGGTCTTGAAATCCATCAAATGAAAGTTAAAACAGCTTTCTTAAATGGAGAATTGGAGGAAGAGATTTACATGGAACAACCTGAGGGTTTTGTGGTTCCTGGTAAAGAAAAAAAAGTGTGCAAACTTGTTAAATCGCTTTATGGACTTAAACAAGCACCCAAACAATAGCATGCCAAATTTGACCAAACAATATTGGCAAGTGGGTTTAAAATCAACGAGTGCAACAAATGTGTTTATATTAAAAACACTCCAAGTCATAAAGTCATTGTTTGTTTATATGTTGATGACATGTTGATAATGAGCAAAAATATGGCAGATATAAATGCTACTAAGCGCATGTTGGCTAGCAAATTCGACATGAAAGACTTGGGAATTGCTGATGTGATCTTAGAAATCAGAATTCATTGAATTTCAAAATTGCCAAGACTCCAATTGACGTGAGTTATGCACTTCAAAAGAATGAAGGTGAAAGTGACTCACAACTGGACTATGCAAGAGTATTGGGAAGTTTGATGTATATCATGAATTGTACGCGACCAAATATATCATGTGCTATTAGTAAACTGACTCGGTTTACAAGTAATCCAATCAAATACATTGGATGGAAAAGAAATGAGTTTTGGGGTATCTCAAACATACCCAAAATTTACGCTTTGCATTATAACAAATATTCCTCCGTGATCGAGGGATATAGTGATGCAAATTGGATCACCGGATCATCTGAAGTTAAATCCACGAGTGGATATGTTTTCACAATTGGGGGTGGAGCAGTGTCTTGGAAATCATCCAAGCAAACGTGCATTTCCCGTTCTACAATGGAATCTGAATTCATAACTTTAGATAAGGCCGGTGAAGAAGCCGAATGGCTCCGGAATTTCTTGGAAGATATTCCATTTTGGCCCAAACCTTTGGCACCTATTTGTATACATTGTG